GGACTATATATAAATAATCATAATTTTATTTAATTGAGCATAAGAATCATACCATGAATGAAATAGTCTTTGGTTAAATAGACATGACTAGTGTTGAAAACAGATTTCACACTCCACATGCATTACATAGCATAGACAAACCATAGCTTCACTAGAATTCAAATTTTCTAATAACTGACTTGCTGTTATAGCAATCAAATGTGCATCCATAAATTATTCTAGAGATGTTTTATTTTCAGAACAGCATTTGATGGTTCAATCATTAAAAGTGAAATACTGACTTTCTGGAAAAATTGCAGAAATACATCTCAACCAAAAAATAACTCATAATGCATCAATACATACAATGTATATTGAAATAACATCAGAATTGTATTCTCTATGTCAACATCATGGACATGTACAATCACTGTAAATAAAAACATGAGGGTCAGGATGTAGTTATTCACAGAAATAAAAGAATTATTTCCCAGAATATTTAGGAATATTCCAGGAAGATTACCGGGAATACAGTTCTTTGCTATAAACATCAGGGGAGATTCACTATGTACAGACTCGGATTCCTATACATACCTATAGCTCACTCAACACGCTTATGTCAGAAACTTGAAGATATCCTCCCTTTCTAAGTGTCCCACATAAAATCTATATAGAGATTTGTTGAATTCTTATTAATTTGTATTCAGTATTAAATTGAATACATTTAAGGAAACTTAAATCTTCTCCCTCTTTCACACATGCATATATTAATGGTTAACCAAAGACAACTAATGTCTGTTCTGCTAGATTTTGGCATAGTTCAGTTCTTTGTTTTCATTAGGGACTAACAAGATATAGCATAAATGCCTTAGCACATAAGCTAAACCTTATATTTTGTTTCTATTAAACTTTTTACTCTAAGATAATTGTAGATTCTGAGATAATTGCAGAAATTGTAGCTTCACATGCAGTTGTAAGAAATAATACAAAGAGATCCTGTCTGCCTTTTACCCAGTTTTCCCCAAGGGTAGTATCTTGTAAAACTATACCATATCCCAACCAGATTTTGACATTGATACAATCAGGACACAGAACGTTTCTGTCGTAAGGATCCCTCGTGTTACTCACTTCTCTCCCCCACCCTCCTCCCTAGCAACCTCTAATCCGTTCTCCATTTCTAGAATTTTGCATTTCAAAATGTTGTATAAGTGGAATGGTACAGCATGTAACCCTGTGGGATTGACTTTTCACTCAGCATAATTCTTTGGAGATTCATCCAAGTTGTTGCTCACGTGAGAAGTTATTTTTATTGCTAAGTAGTATTCCATGGCATGGATGTTTCACATGTTTAACCAGCCACCCATTAAAGGACATCTGGTTGTTTACAGTTCTTGAATATTATGAATAAAGCTGCTATGAACATTCATGTACAAGTATTTGTGCGAACATAAGTTTCCATTTCTCTGGGATAAATGCCCAACAGTGCAATTGCTGAATGGTATGGCATCTGTATGTTTAGTTTTATAGGAAACTGCCAATGGTTTTGCAGTGACTGTTCCATTTTACATTCCCACCAGCTCTCTTCAACTGATCCAGTTTCTTTGCATCCTTGTTAATATTTGGTGTTGTTACTTTATCTTAGCAATTTTGTTAAGTGCACAGTGGCATCTCACTGTGGTTCTAATTTGCAGTTCCCTAATGATCAATGATGTTGAGTATCTTTTAATGGACTTATGTGCCATATGTGTATCTTCTTCAGTGAAATGTTTGTATATGTCCTCCAGTTTTGAAATGGAGTTTTTAGAAAAACAACTGTTGAGTTTTGTGAGTTCTCCATATATTCTAGATATTAGTCATTTGTCAGATACGTGCTTGCAAATATTTTCTCTCAGTCTGTAGCCTGTGTTTTCATTCTCTTAACATGGTCTTTTTCAGAGCCAAAATTTTAAATTTTGATGAATTTATATCAAGCTTTCCTTTACGGATTGTGCTTTTTGGTGTCAAATCAAAGTACTCTTGAGGCTTAGCCCTAGGTCCCTATAATTTTCTATTTTTCAAAAAAAGTTTTATGGTTTTACATTTTATATTTAGGATTATGACCCATTTTGAGTTCATTTTCACATAAGGAATGAGGTTTAGGTTGAGGTTTTTATTTGCCTGTTGATATCCCATTCTCTAACACATTTATTGAAAAGACTGTCCTTGCTTGATTGAATTACTTTTATACCTTTATACAAAACCCAATTGAGTATATTTGTGTGGTTCTATTTCTAGATTTTCTATTCTTTTCTGATCTCTGTGCCTTCACCAATAAAAACCATATTGTCTTGATTACTGTAGCTACATAATAAATTTTTATATTGAATAGAGTGATTTCTCCTACTGATTTTTCTTTTACAAGACTGTTTTTAGCTATTCCAAGGCTTGTGCCTTGGAATTTTTAGAAAAACTTGAATATGTCTACAAACTTTGCTGGGATTTTGACAGAAATTGCATTAAATCTATAGATAAATCTGGGGAGAACTGACATCCTTGCTACTTTGTGTCTTCCAATCCATGAACATGGTGTATCTCTTCATTTATTTAGGTCTTTGATTTCTTTCATTAGCATCTTTTAATTGTCAGCATATAGATCTCGTACATGTTTTGATAAATTATACCTAAATATTTATTTTCTTTGGAGTGACTGTAAATGGTATTGTGCTTTTAATTTTGGTTTCCACTTTGTTCATTGTTAATATTTAGAAATGTGATTACATTTTGTGTGCTGACCTTGTATCCTGAAACCTTGCTGAACTCTCTAGTTCTTTGAGTTTTCTTTTTTTTTTTTTTAAATAGAGTCTTTGGAATTTGCTATGTAGACAATCATATCATCTGTAAACAGAGATACTTTTATTTCTTTCCAATCATATGCACTTAATTTCTTTTCTTGTTTATTGCCATGTGTAGAATTTCCAGTACACTCTTCAACATTTTCATCAATGTAAATTTTCAGAGATTTGCTGAAACGTACTGGCTTGAATGGGGCCAGATACACTTTCAACACTCTTATCATCCAACCTGTTTAGACCTCATTTCCTGTCATTTGGATAAATAATTGATAACATTCATTAGTGGTTATAAATGGCACCCACCCTGCAAAGCCCCTTGAAGCAGCAGAGAAGGCTTTAATGAGCTGAGTGGAACCTGATTATAAAAGCAAACTTAGCATACGAACATTATTCTTAAGACAGAATCAAGAGGTAGTGATGCCCAAAGAATTAAGGTATGAGGTTGACTTATGGAGTATGTGGTTTATCCTTCTGGTTTTCCCCTCTTACCTCTAAACTGGGGGTAGCAATAATTTTTAACTCGGAAATACAAAGTACCATCAAAGTGACCTTATTCTTATGTATTAGAAATTGTTATTGTTAGAAACTTTTGAGAATTGGCTTTTGACAAAAAAGAATTCTGTGCATCTTACTATGCTTTTAGTAACAGGCACTTAAAAATATTTTGACACCTCAAACTCTGTTCATGTCTTAATTTTTTAAATAAAAGTATAATCGTTAATAACATTTTCCCTATTTTAAAAAATGTATATTTCCTATAGAAAGTGTATTTTTATGTTATACAACACACCTAACCCACCACAGAGGGTTCATAGCCGTTATAAAAAGACGGAAAACTGGGTACTGCTAGATCTTTACAGACTTCAATGTAAGAGGTCTTGGATGTATACACATAAGTCCTTTATAGGCCTTAGATGTGTACTCAGGTACAATGTCATTTCTTGCAAAACCAGGAGCTCCTGCATATAATTTTGTAGAAAATTTTAAATCTGTAGTAACAATCAAATTTCAGAGACTTTTTTTTTTTTTTTTTGATAGTTAACAGTGGCAAGTCAGCCTCAGGCAGGTTAATCCTCACTTTACTGATTTTGCTGATTCAGTGACCACCCATGCATTTCAGTTCTCAAGATTGGAACTTGTCTAAATACCACTCCATCCATTGTGTGTGGAGAGTCAGACCCTGGGACGCTGACCTAGCCTGTCTAATCCCCAGTTTTCTTGTCTGTAAGTGGCAACAATGATGTGACTCTCATTGGTTGTCAGGCTGACACGAGATGATCCTGCCAAGGCCCTGGTCCAAGGCTGGGCAGGGAGTGTGCTTCCAATCACTGACTTCTTTGCTTCCTTGTACATTGTCCTTGCTTCCTTCCCCACTCCTCTGCTCTCCCCTCTCTTCTTCTACATGCCACAGAATGAGATGCCTTTTTTTTTTTGGATGCCACTCCTTGTGCCTATGGGATGGGAACCCTCTGTTAGAAGCATTAGCCGTGGGGATCTGGGGAGCTTGGTGCTGAAGCTGTCCCACCCCATGAATGAGTCACCACGGCCTGCTCACACAGAACGGGGCTTCGCCCAGGACTCTGTGTTCTCAGGCGGTTTGTCAGGTTATAGTGGGACAAAGGCTTCCTAGGTGAACAGGACATTCTAGCAAATGTGACTTGATCATGCATCTGCAGTCCAGTAAGTAGCATGATGAGCACTCCACAGACAACCAGTCCTGCGTGTCCACCCCAAACACAAGACCGTGGCTGCGCGATGCACGTTCAGCTCCTTCGTGTGAGCTCCGAATCAAGACTGCTTTGGGCACAGCAAGCAACAAAAATACTCTTCACAATACAATGCAATCACATGGAACGTACTTTTTTGTTTTTGTTCTAAGGAATGGAATGGCAACGGTCTCAGCATGTCGCTTTAAGAACCATGATTCCCTAGTTGGCGAGACTGGGTGGAATACGATACAAATGGAGGCTATATATAAGTGAGTACCTGCGTGAACTGGGGGCTTGCAAATGACCACTCTAATCTCCAGCCAGGCCCAGGGTTCCCCGGTCACCCTCTCTCGTTCTGCTGTGAGGGTGACAGGGCGGCCATGAAGTCGGCGAGAGACAGACAGCCGTCAGGCACCGTGTGGCAGCGCGACGGAAAGGGGTCTCGTTTCCCGCAAACCCTGACGACTTTCTTCTTACTGCATCAGGCCTTTCGTGGGACTGCTTTGAAGTAGTCCTCCTTTGAAATGTCGGATACGCCTCCATACCATTTCTGAAGCCAGATATGTTCTATCCTCATCTTCATAAAGAACCACTCATACTGACGAGGCCACTTCCTCATCACGGGGTGTCTGCAGAAATAAAGGAGAGGTCCCATCAGCGGGTGGGCTCCCGGGGCCCCGCGCCCGCCTCCGTGGCACCGGCCAGGTCATCAGGCCTCCAGAGCCCAGGCCTCGTCTGGGCTGAAGCCAGAGGCAGAAGCCAGGGAGCCAGAGCTGGGGTCCGGGACAGCCTCGGGAAGGCAGGGAACGGCCACCTCCACAGAGGGGCAAACCCGCCTTGTCCCAGGTGCCTTGGTTCGAGTCCCAGGGCGGCGGCGGATGAGCAAGAGGCTTCGTGGGCCGTCTGCCCTCTCAAACCCTGGCCTCCTTACCCGTCATGGGGGACAACGGTGGTGGTGTTCGGATCATGGGGCTGCGTGGGGAGCAAACAACTCTGCATACAGGAAGCACCTGCACAGAGCAAGTGCTCAGTGAACGCCGGTTGCTGATAGCGGGAGACATCAAGAAAGGCTTTCTGCATCTCCGGATGAAAATCCAAAAGAATTGTGAGCCCATGAAACAAATCTGCTGGTGGGAAGATTGGCACGGCTGCCGCAGGCTGAGAGATGCCGGACCAAGGGGAGAGTCAGCCAGAATGCACAGGGCACGGCACACTCCGCCTTCTACTTACCGACTTGCTTTGCTTTCCCCCTCACGTGAAACCCTAGACATATGCATCTTCTTAAGGGCAGGTGCTTGGCTCACTTCTTGTAAAGTTCATAAAAATAAAAAACTAGATTCTTATCTAAACATGTCAAAAACAAAAGTCAAAGGCCAAGTGCGGACTGGGAAGGCTATTTGCAACAATGTAGATGCGATAATAGGCCAATGACCTTTTAAAAGAGACAATTTGTTTTGAAATAACTGTAAAAGCCCAGAGAAGTTGAAAGTACAGGGTTTTGTTTTGTTTTTTTTGGAGGGGGCACTATTTTTTTCCCTAAACCATTTGAAATGAAGTTGCTGATCTGATGCCCCAACGCTCCAAATACTTGTAAAACCAAGATAATAAAAGGATTGTTGCTATTTTAAGCAAACACAGTTTGTACTTGGAACCCGAACACATTTTGGCACTGCAGGTGTGGGGCAGATGTAACAAATCCTAATCCAGGGGGCACCGGCGTTGCATCCAGACAGGGAGGGGCAGGTGGAGGGAACTCCAGGAGACTCACAGTGGGGGGCTTAGAAGAAGGTAAAGATGAGCTTAGTGGAAGCGGGGGTGGGGGGTGTGTGAAGGGGCCCACGAAACATAGTGGTGAAAAATTTGGCAACACAGCACCTGCCGAGTTTCCAACAGAAAGTACACAATGGTCTACCTAAGATTCTGGCCTCTTCTCAAGGCCTATTATAACACGAAAGAGGAGTGTTTAGAAGTAAAGAGGACAGCGGGGTTCAAAAATATATCGCGGGCACACACACACACAACACCAATGTTCTCTTCTCAACCTATGTTCTGAAAACCCTGGATTCATGTTGATGTATCCAATTGCGATCCAATTCGAGTTCATTCCCATTTTCTCTGTGCATGTGACACCCTTTTCCACGGCAGTGGGAAACCAGGCTTCCCCTCTCCTTTCTATGCTTACTTATTTGATGGTTCCCCTGTATGGAAAAATCGTCCCTTCTCCGAGGGGGTGTGGGTGGCGCTCCCAGTTTACCACCTGCTGTCATGTTAGTCTTCCAAGGAACTTAGACAAAGCGTTAATCTGCCTGTTTTCAACACCTGCACCCCGGGGAGGATACCTGCCGCTCCTTGGCCCAGCTCTGACCTTGCACTCCAGGCGGCCCCCTGCACAGTCGTCCCTCACTCCAGCCCCCCTGGGAGACCACCCCTCCCTGCACACACCCTCCTCACACCTTTTGCAAGCTCTTGACCTCCCGCCGCCTCTCACAGGGCTGCCCTCTTGCTCACTTTGACCCCTACAGCCCTGATTCTTAACTTCAGCATGCATGCTCATTTCCTGGGACATGCTTTTAAAATTTCGAGTGAGTCTTCTCTCCTGAGAATCTGATTCAATAAGCAGGCCGGGGCGGGAGGGCGGGGGCAGAAAGCCCGTGGCTGCCAGCATCCTCAGCGGGTCAGATGTAGGCAGCAGAGGACCACCCTAGGCAAGGCGCTTTTTCACTTCTGCACTGTGCTTTGCTTAGAGTGGACGTTTGAAAATGTTTGTTGTGCTGCCTTCTCTGCAAAGTCCAGTTATTTCCATTTCAAGGCAGGCTGTTGTGGAAGGTGGCAAGTGCGCAGGGAAGAGTGCCTGAGATCCCTCAATGCAGGATGCTCTCCAAAGGCGGGGGGGGGGTGGTTGGGGGGGACACCACAAGACCACCGGCAAGGCCTCTGCTGCCCCCCCCCCCCCGGGGCCCCCCCCACAGCCCGCGTGGGGTTTGCAGCCCCGCCCCCCCCCCCCCCCCCCCCCCCCAGGGCAGCTCAGACCATTACTATCATTGCTTCAGGGGCATCAAAAGGCACAGTCCTCACCTCTGCTTTTTTTTTTTTTTACGGTGTATTTCTGGGCAAACCGACTTTAAAGCATATACAAACCTTGAAAACATGGCTTGCTTGGCAAATTCTACTTCTTCTGGAGACACCGCGATCATCTGGCCGGTGAGCGTCAGGCGGGCGCATCGGGGGTCTTCTGGGTCCACAATATTTTTTCTGCATACAAAGAACATTTTTCACATGTTAAAAAGATGATAGAACGTCGGTCTGGAATACCAAGGATTTTATTAAAAATGAAAAATAGGCACGTGGCTGGTTATATCATTCAGGTTTTTACATTGTGTGTAATTCCTTTAATACACTTTGGCGTGGGCCGGGTGGGAAGTGTGCTTGGGGGAGTTACACACCGATCTGCACCCTCGGGGCAGCAAACACCCGGAGTTCCCTTGTCAACGGGGCCTGTGCTAGCCTGGCCTCTGCAAGACGGCGGCCGGGAGCCACTGTCCAGAATCATGTTGCTGCTCTGCACAACTCTAGGGAGCGCCAGTCGCTTAAAGACAATATGAGCGGTGCTCCTGAGGTCATGCGGTGCATCTGCCTGGATCCAGCGGTGACCAAGGTGAAGGTTTTCAGACACCACTATCAGAAGGTGGAGGCTCCTCGCTCAACATAAGGGACGTTGGAAATAATGAGAACGTTAGTGTGACTACATGTGTGACTGCTTGCTGGAAGTGTTCCCGTGGTGACAGAATGCTTCTAAGACTTGCTTTCATTGAAAGAGTCACCTGGCAGTGAGGGTGTATTTTGTATTCTGGATATCACTCTTTCTCTGGATAAATAGAATTCCATTTTTTTTTGGCTGGGTACAGTATACTTTATTGATGGTACATGACAAGGTAGGGCTCCTCTGGATAAAAAGAATTCTAATAGAATATATGATGATGTGATATGACATGATCTAATATAATTCTCAATTAAAAATTCTCATTAGGGTTGCCAGATAAAATATTGCATGACACATAGTTCTGTGGGAAAAATATTTGTTGTTTATCTGAAATTTAATTTTTTACAGCTTTACTGATATCTACTTATATATATATTTACTGTAATATATATATATTCACATAAACTTCACCCTTTTAAAGTGCACCATTGAAGGTTGTTAGGATATTCAGAGTTGTGCGACCATCACCATAATCGAATTTTAGAACATTTTCATCACCCCCAAAAAACCCCAGTGCCCATTAGCAGTTATTCTTCATTCCTGACCCCGCACCCCATCCCGAGCAACCTCTGGTCTTCTGCCGCCTCTACAGCTGTGCCCGTTTTGCCGAGACAGATGGAATTGTGCCATATGTGGTCTCCTGTGATTTATCCTCTCTCACTTAGCATGGTGACTTCGAGGTTCATCCATGCTGGAGCCTGAATTAGTATTCATTTTTTCATGGCTGAATATTATTGCATTGTATGGGTAGACCACGTTGTTTACCCATTCATCAATTGATGGACATCTGGGTTGTTCCCGCTTTGGGGCCATTACCAATAATGCTGCCACACACGTGTGCACGTGTTTTTGTGTGGGCATGTTGTTCAGTGGGGGAACAGTGAGAAAGGGAATCCCCAGCTCCCCTGGCAATGCGACGTATAACTTTGTGAGGAACAGCCGAACTGTCTTCCAAAGCAGCCGCACTGTTTTACCTTTCCACCAGCAGTGTGGGAGGCCGGTTCCTCCGCATCACCACAAACACTCAAAGTCTGTCCTTTTCATGCTAGCCAGCTGAGTGAATATGAAGTGGTATCTTGCTGTGGTTTTTATTTGCATTTCCCTGATGGCTAATGATATTGGCCATCTTTTCATATGCTTGTTGGCCAGGTGTATGTCTTTGGAGAAATGTCTGTTCAAATCCTATGCCTGTTTTAATTCAGACTTGATGCAAAATTTTTTTTAAAATTTTCATCAAGTCTGAATTACCTATTTTGCTTTTGTTTCCATTTGTGATTTTTTTTTTAAAGCTCCCAGCAACCTAGGGCAAAGGATATTTATCAAAATCCTATACCTATATTATATCTCATGGAACAAGATGAGCATGTCCATATTACTGGATATTGTGGTTTTTGTGCTAAGACAAGAAATAGAAATATGTATAAAGACTGAGAAATAATAAACGAAGTTATAGTTATTTGCAAATGATATGACTGTATACAAAGGAAAATGCAAGAGAATCCACACTTGGAACATTAATATTGTGGAGAAAGCTCAGCAAGATTGTTGAATTCAAGAACAATGATTATAAAATAATTGCATTGCTACTTATAAGCAAAAAACTATTTTTAAATATTAGAAAGTATGGAAGAAAGGGACACCTGGGTGGCTCAGTCGGTTAAGCATCTGCCCTTGGCTCAGGTCATGATCCCAGGGCCCTGGGATAGAATCTGAGTCGGGCTCCTTGCTCAGCAGGGAGCTGCTTCTCCCTCTGCCCCTCCCCCTGCTTGTGCTCTCTTTCTCTCTCTGACAAATAAATAAAATCTTTAAAAAAAGTATATAAGATGGTAACAAAACCTATAAAATACCCAGAGATGAATTCAACAAAAATTGTGTAATATCTTGGTGGAAAAAATTACAGCTTTATTGAAATACATAAATGGCCTAAAGAGAGAGTTATCCCATATACATGAATGTGAAAACCCAATTTAATGGAGATGTCAATTCTCCCAGAATTAATCTTTATAGATGATGTAATTTCCATTCAAATTCTTTTTTTTTTAAAGATTTTATTTATTTGTCAGAGAGAGAGAGAGCGGCAGGCAGAGGGAGAAGCAGGCTCCCCAATGAGCAGGGAGCCTGACGTGGGGCGCGATCCCAGGACCCTGGGATCATGACCTGAGCCGAAGGCAGCCACTTTAATGACTGAGCCACCCAGGTGTCCCTACTCATTCTTTTTTTTTTCTTTAAGATTTTATTTATATATTTCAGACAGAGAGATAAAGAAGTGGGGGTGGGGAGGGGCAGAGAGAGAAGCAGGCTCCTGGCTGAGCAGGGAGCCTGATGCAGGGCCCGATCCCAGGACCCTGGGGTCACAATCTGAGCCGAAGGCAGTCGCTCAACCGAATGAGCCACCAGGCGCCCCCTACTCTCATTCTTGATTGATAGTTTGGCTGGGTAGTAAATGCTATGTTTGCAATAATTTCCGCCAAAAAATGTTGAAGGCATTGCTCCATTCCAGTGTTGCTATTAAACAGCCCAATGCGATCCCCTTTCTTGCTCTTTTGTATGTGATCTTCCCCTTGCTCTTTTGAAAACTTTCATAAACTAACCTTTACCCATGAGTTCCTGAAATATCATGATGATGTACCTCGATACAGGCTTTAAAAAAAAAAAATCCACCGTTCTGGGTACTTGGTGGATAGTTTTAAATCTGGAGACGTAGGTCTTTTAGTTCTGTGGAATTTTTCTCCAATTATATCTGATAACTTTTTTCTTTTATTTTCTCAATTCACCTTTTCTGGAATTCTTTTATTTTGACTGGTGGACCTTTAGGATTAGTCCTTTAATTTTCTTATTGTTCAGCTCATACGTTTCATCTATTTCTTTTTATTCTACTTTTTGGGAGATTACCTCAAATCTACCTTCTAATGCTTCAGTTGAGTTTTTTATTTCTGCTATCATAGTTCATCTTTAAGAATTCTTTTTGTCGACATCCTGGGGTCATGATGGGCAGTAAGATGGCGTCTGCCAGCAGGGTCGTTCAGGTAGTCAAGCCACATACTCCATTAATAAGGTTCCCTGACAGAAGAGACAATCCTAAACCTAACGTATCAGAAGTTTTGAGATCAGCAGGACTACCGTCTCACTCTTCTTCAATTTCACAGCATTCTAAGGGAAGTAAATCCCCAGATTTGCTGGTGCATCAGGGTCCACCAGACACTGCAGAAATAATAAAAACATTACCTCAGAAATACAGAAGGAAACTTGTATCTCAAGAAGAAATTGAATTTATCCAACGGGGAGGTCCAGAATAATCACTGACAGTGTGGCTGCTGTTTGTCATCAGACAGAAGACTAGTCTTTACAATAAAGGACTTCCAAAATGGCACATGAGAAATTATACAGTAAATAACTTGAGTAAATACTCTGCAAAAAAAAAAAAAAGAAATCTAGAAAATTTAGATGGACAATTGTATCTCCTAATATATGTATCTTGGTCAGCTTCTCCACAAGCTTACCTAATTGTTTATATGCTTATTAAAGTATACATTTTTAAATGTTAGCCTATTAATTTACTCTTGATTATCAAGTATTACCAGTGTTGAGCTACTAAAAGCACACAATATCTAGTAAACTATCACAGGTTTCCCATGGTTTCCCTTTTGTTTCAGTTTCTTTTTAGACATGGAAAGATTTATTAGAATTACTGCTTTTGGGAAGTGATTTTCCTGAAATTGGATGAGGGTCAGTGAAAGAATGACTCCATTATTTGTTCTTAATTTTCTTCCCCTTTTTTTCATTCACAAAGTTACTGGAGTATAACTAGTTTAAAAAGTGTATCCTACACTAAATGATAAAAATATAGTCAAGGTAAAACAGGTGACTTTGTGGTATTAAAACTGGGAGTTAATACAAAAGATTATTTGTAACCTGTATTCAGAAGAAAATACCAGAATTTAAAATGGAAAATAAGAGATCAAAATGAATATAACCTAGAAATAGGTGTTTGATTAGAAATTGCAACTTAATATGTTATTAGGGGTGTTGAGAAAGTCTTATTCTTTATTTTACTGTTTTAATTGTCATCATCTGTGCAAATTCTGGAAACCACTAACTTTCTCACACTTAATGTCTGAAAGTGTCATAAAATCAACCTAAATATTTACCTTACTAAGGCAATTTATGAAACTTTAATAGGGTCTTACAGTGCCAAGGGTATGTATTATTGTGAAAGTAAAGCCTCACAAAGCTAAATAAATTTTCTTCCATACCTTGAATGATTTCTAGAATATACTTCAAAGAAGTCATCCCTAATAGTAAGGGTAGCTTATGGGCATTAGAGTCGAGGGGCGCCTGGGTGGCTCAGTCAGTCGAGCGTCTGCCTTTGGTTTGGGTCGTGATCCCAGGGTCCTGGGATCGAGCCCCGTGTTGGGCTCCCTGCTCAGTGGGGAGCCTGCTTCTCCCTCTCCTCCCCGCTCACTCTTGATCTCTTACTATCTCTCTCTGAAAT